AGATAGATTTAGATAGAGTTAGATAGAGTTAGATAGATTTAGATAGATTTAGATAGGTTTAGATAGGCTTGGATAGATTTAGATAGACAGATACATAGATAGACAGATAGTGAAATAGACAGATAGAGAGATAGACAGATAGAGAGATAGGCAGATAGAGAGTTGGACACACAGACAGACAGATAGAGACAGCCAGATAGAGACAGAGACAGAGACAGAGAGATAGATAAATGAACAGGCGCTATGATGAGAAGACTGTACAAGCAGTCCAGAAAATCCAATCATCCTAAAGTGAACTCACCATGAGGTTCCGATAGTCAGGCTTGCCAAATTCGGCCAGTTGACATGTGTCCTGACATGGGATGATTCGTCCAAAAACCCTCTAGAGGGTCACTCGAACCGACCACAGGGCCCAGGCCCACTTGTTATCTCACAGGGGCCTGTCCTCTTGGGAAACTGGACTGGAGCATATGTTTGGAATTCGGGCCACTTCAATGTCGCAACAAGAACGAAACCTGTAGGACATGTCTGTAGAACCCTCTGCAAAAGGAATTATATACACTTGCAAATCTTTCGTTTTGCTTAAGGTATGCCCATTGGAAAGGTGGTGTCAAAATGACCTACTTCCCCAAACGCATTTGGCTTTGGTGTCCCAAGTCCTTCCTCAATTCACCCAATACACCGGTTGATCACGACTTCGCACCATCAGCCGTCAAAGCAATGCGCCTCCCAATACGACGTTCAACACTTTGGGTTGCGAGTATGGACCGGGTCTTGGAAATGAGAAGATGCCAAAAGTGGGATATTGGGGTCAATTTTAGGACATGATGTTGGGTTGCCATTAGATTGGATGGAACAAAACTGTAAGGCGGATAGGCCAGCAAGGTAACGGTATGCACCCAATACATCAATCCCGTGACTTGTGCAACTGGCTGAACGCATCCCATTCGGTACATGACGGTGACATGACCATCCTTCATTCATGTCTTGCGCAGGTTCTGCTTGCAACTCGTCACATCGCACGACGATGCACAGTTTACCCCATAATATGCCTTCAAGGTACGACCCCGAGCTTTTCCCTCGCCGCTTCTGGCGCCGAGTTTTGGAGGCTCGTCCCTGCAAAGCAGCAAAATGGATTGAGGGGATTGGCCAATGTGTGTAGCTGAGGGGAAGGAGCTGACAAAAATAAGACCAGGGGGCAAGTTGATCCTGTTGACCTGACAATCACACCTTTGTTTTTTACTTTTTCTGGAGGGTGCAAAGCTTCACACACTCCCACTTGCATGCACATGAGATCGCAGCACTCCCGAAAGCAAACTTAGAATCAACCTGCCACAGAAAGACGCATCATGATCTTCACAGTATGCAGAAATTGGAGAAAGTCACCAAAGTCAATGTTTGTTGTTGAATAGGCGGTGGTCTCCAATTGTTGAGTGGTTCTAAGACATCCCCGCATCAATGAAATAGAAAATATTTCAACCAAAGGCCGCTGTGCCTTCGTCGTCCTTGTCTTTGCCTTTCGACTTTTCCTGCTCTTTCGTCTCTTTCGACTGGACTTGTCCTCGGACAAGTCAAAACCACCCCGGCAACGAGCAACAGCAGCAGCAGCAACAACAACAACAACAAGAAACACAACATGGAATACATACTACAACCATTAACCTGGGATCCGAGCACTGCTGCTGCTACTGCTGCTGCTGCTGCTCTCCCGGCGCCTGTCACATGCTTGACAAACGACCAGAACTGCTTTGAATGGGTCACGTCACAAATTACACCGTTCAAGCCAAAAGCGCTGTGTTTTATGTTGTCCTTGATTGACTCTGAACAAGAGTGTCTTGACCACTGCGTGCTCTTCAGTTATTTCGCTGTGTGCATCTACTCAGTTGGACTTTCGCTGGATGCGAAGCTGTTGGCTGGCTGATTTACGTTGGTATTCCTTCAAAGAGACTTCTTCGCCAGCTTGCTGCGGAATGTCTTTCGCTGGTCTTGCCCATCTTGCTTCGGCTCTTCAGGAAAGAAGCTGGCCATCTGTTGTACCAGGCCAAGTAAATTTGGACACTCTGCATTTTGTCTCTTTTCCATGGCGCGTGGATATCTTGACAGCCTTCCTGCACGTTGTGCTGGCTGACTTACCTTTCTTCAGCAACAACTTGCACTTCGACATGTCATCTTGCTCGGTTGCCTTTCTACAGTAAATGGTCATTGACGATCTTTGGCTTGACTTGCCCCTTCAGCCGAGCAACCTTTGGCGTCTTCGTCTTCTTCTTCTTCTTCTTCTTCTTCTGACCCTGTGGCCGTCCTTGAGTCTTCTGTCCTTGTCTTTTCTGCCTTGGAATATTTCACTCTGGCAATCACGATGGAGCTCCAGTGCTCCAGGTGCAAAATGGCGGATGGCTGGGACCCTGAGCACTCCCCAAACTTTGGTATTGAAACTTGAGAACAGTCCAATGCAATGATCCGGTCATGTCTTGTCCATGTCTGATGTCTATCTTTTTCTTACTTGTCTAGTCCTGAGGGTTTTACAAGATGTTGAATCATATGCAGGGCAAGAATGGCCACTCCTCGACGCATCATAAGGCCCCTTTTCCTATTAGACTCTCGCATTTGCTCAAGCTACTGAAACTCTTCGGTGTAGAAGGAAGGACTCGAGAGCAGAGAGGTCCTTTTCAGCATTAGAATGTTTCATAGGCCCAGCGTGCCGGACTGGCACGTCCGCACCCGACCAATAAACAGTGTGTTTCCATAGGTCTAACCCTACACTTTGAGCCACACAACCCGATGTGCTCCTGCTGCTCAAGCTTCCTTCTTCCCAAATGGCTGCCATCTTCATGAAGGCATCCCAAAGTCCGCAGACGTTGGCATGGCAAGCCCCAAGAAGTGGGTCATTGCGAGTCGAAAGAAAAACACCGGTGGAGTAGTTCATTCACTCATCAGATGAGAGATATTCAATGAATGCGGTACCGATGCATCTCTTCGGAATCGATTGAGTCCGAAAGGGTTTCCGGGACAACGGAAAGATCCATTGAAACGAAAGCAAACGGCCACATGCAAATGAATTGTTCGGACTGCCACAACCTGCTGTTGCAGGGAGCCTTTGGCTCCGTCCAAGCAAACCAAGCGAGCAAGCTGATCTTCGCAGTCTTGTGGGTCGAAGAGCTGATCTTCACCAGGTTTCACGAACTGTCCGTTTCAACCAATGGGTAGCTGACAGAGCATCCAAATCTGACATCTAGGATTGTTGAAGCATTGGCTTTTGTTGGGATAGGTGTTTAAGCACTTTGAGACCACAATGCATCATGAGAACATTCTGGAAGTCCATACAGGTCAAGTTGCGAAGCTGTGCCAGCACAAACTAAGTATGTAACTTCAAGACAAAGGATCCTCAATAGATCTAAATTATTCTAAATCGAAGCTTTCCTGGAATGCATGTCAAATATCTCGCCTTGCTTGCTCTGCGGCACTCACAACCGCCCAACGGTGCCCGACCCCATGCCTCAAGTGCCAAGCTCTCCCAAGCTGAAGCAGAAAACCCTAAGGACCTCCCCCAACCAGAGCTTTTGGACCGTTCTGTGCAGAAGCGTGGGCCGCAAGGCGGGAGCGAGGCGGCCAGGGGTATGGCGGCCCACCTTTGTTCAAAATGACCGCTTCAGCCTTGGGTAGGCATTGGCACAAGCAGGCATGTGTCCAGCAAGTGTCTTCTTGCTCAGGTTCTGAACTTGAGGCTCGGTCTTGGGACATTGAAGCCATTGAAGCCACCACGTTTTGAGCGTCTCATGTCTAACCAGCCCCGGTTTGGAATCTGCGCAGAACGTGTCAACCCTGCTGGTGCAGAACGTCTTTGACACCCTGTCACCGCAAAACTGGGAGGTCTGAACCGGAGCCCGAACAACCGCAGCACCACCCCAAGCCTGGGATTGAAAGAAGTGCCCACCAAACAAAGAACTAGAAAAAAGCAGGCTCCTTACTACACACCCAGTTGAACGTGGGTAATTCGAACTCGAACCCATCTGATTACTGATTAATCTTTCCAATCATTCCTATGCTCTCCTGCTGGCTTTGCATAAAACCTCACGTTGCTGCTGGTCTCTGGGACAACTTTGTGCCGGCCCAATTGGACGCTCCCTAGGCGCGGAAAATTCGTGTGGTGAGATCAGGCAACGAAAAGCTGCAGACAGTCTGCATAGCTGTGCTTCACGTTCGAATTTGACCGCGCACCTGCAGCTGTGGACACACAACTTCTGTTCTGGTTTTATCATTTCTATCTCATCCCTCAGATCTAGCGAGCCTTTCGGCTTTCGGCTTCGTGCGCAAAGACCGGGCCTGCAGGTCAGCGGTGCGTCGCAGGAACCTGCGGAGAGATCCGAGTGTCGCGAACAGCAAAACCATAGCGTGTGTTCACATCCAACAAGGAGTCCTCACAGGGGGATGCAGTGATCCATCATGATCCAAATGTGCATGGAATGGGGGCAGGGTTCACACACATTGAGGTTCACTTGCTTCCAGCAATCAGAAGTGCCTGCCAGGGCCCTCTCGGAGACATCATAACTGGTTGCATCTGCTGCCTTGGACATCTTCATCGCGCTCTGGCGATCTGCTCTCTGCAGTTAGCTGGGTGTCCGGCTGTGCTTGAAATGGAACTTGTGGCATCACTGGTTGCGGAGCATACCTTGCAAGCCCAAGGCTCAGTATGTCGGGTCCACCGGCCTTTAGGGTTATCAACCGCACATATATGGTACGAACAAAAGTTCCACCCTGGTCCCACCTGCCTGGTGGGTTGTCCTGCTTGTACCACCATGGGTCTCTGAACTTGTCCTGCAAAGTCACGCACCCAGATGCCGGACGTAGACTCCGACTGCTTTGAACAGCCGATACTTCCCATTGGTCAACCTGTTTCAGCCAAAATTCTAGAGTAGGCGTTCTACACAGATAGAGTTATATAGAGCAGCTTGCCATGGAGCTTTGCGCTTTTTGACGCTGATGTTCATGGCACAACCTTTAGAAACCCTGCATCGTTCTGAGTGACTCCATGACAGCTTCGGTTAAGTTCAAAAGAAATGAACAACATTTCATAGTCGAAGACCTTTCACCAGGCCTGGAGACACGGCATAGCCGTGGGACGCCAGGCGTGGTGAAATTGGCACTCGCGGTGACCTCGATGCGACGTGCCAGGTATGTTTTTACTGAGTTTCCTGAGTATATAGATCATCTTCTCTCAAGAGAAAATTGCACTATATAGTAATTGTGTTCAGAAATTTTGCCTCTTCAACACTCAGTATCGAACACTGCAGCCGCTGCCACCTCCTGAGTTCTAAGGAAGGATTTGGCCAACTGTCTCATGTGACAGAGCGAAGACTGGAAAGAGAAACGCAGGGAGTTCCGAAACCTAGTCTCCGGCACACTGCCAGACACCTCTGCGATTGGTGCGCAAAGAAACACCTCTCCTGTGGAGTCTCAGCTGGCAGGCGCCCACTGCCAGTGCTTGGCCAAGCTGCAAAGGCCACTCCTGGTTCGAAAGGTGGAAAGAGGGCCAAAGGTTTGAGCGAACAACAAGTCGATCCTGGAACAATGGACAATTCCAAAGGCAAAGCAGATGTAGAATTAGGAATCAGTTGTTGAATTCCATTGTCTCTCATCTGTAATGAATATATACAGCATGTCAACGTCGTTGTTTGACAAAGAATTACACATCCTTCTCTCATCCCTCAAAATCACCTTGATCGCAGGGTATAACACTGTCTGCCGTTCAGGGGAGGGCGCTGCAAGTCTCCACTGGTCACTGGTCACCCTTGCAGAAGACTGAACATGCAGAACTCAATCGCACAAGTCGTCAGCAAACTGGCTGAAGCAATCTACCAAAACAGCACAAAACTGAAGGGCAGGCGTCTCTGCGACTCAAAAGCCAATTGGGCAATGACAAAAAAACACCCTTGAAACACACATACGAGACCACAGTCACCATGGGCGAAGGTCAGGTCCAAAATCTCTTGCTCTGAGATCTGCCGACGGTTCAGTGAGACACTGGTCAGTAGCAGGTTGATTTGAATCGGCACATCGCATTGACTCTGGGCAAGAGATTCGGCACCGGGAGAGCGGAGCCATGTGCAGGAGGGCGTTGGTGAACTTTGCCACAAAGCGATGTGGAAATGGATGGGTCAAAACCTGGAGCCCCAACACTGTAGCTTGACCTTCCGGGTGGATCAACCAAGGTATCCTGGTGTCATAACCCACAGCCATCTCAAACCAGTGACCTTGTCAGTCTCGGTGGGCCCGTCCTGGCAAAGATGCGGCACTTTGTGAGTGCATCGAAGGCGTGCCTCGGCATCGTGCCAGCGGCGTTTCTCGCGCGGGCGAAGCTCTCAAAAGGGAGGTCCCTGACCCCTGCGGCCATGCGGCCCTTGGCCTCGCGCTATCATCTGTGTCTCCTTCCAAAATAGATGCATGATGGGGCATGCCATATCTTCTACGCATAGAAGCCTGTTCTTCAAAGGTGCACAGGCAAAACTACCCAATGCTGGTCGTAACAAGCAAAGCCAGCTGCAAAGCCCGGTGGTTGAAGGCTCTTCATTTTGACATATTTGGACATATTATGCCTATTGTGCCTACATTGTCACAGACATCAAGTGGTGCCCTTGGCCAACCCAGCAATTTCCAGTTCAATGAGAGTCAGATGGGATTTGTGGTCCTTGGTGACATTTGACCGACTAGATGGCCACAT